TCTTCGAGGCGTACTGATCTGCTAGCGGCCCCGCTATAATCGATGAAATACCACCCACAATGAAGAACCCCATCTGGACCATACCCCCTACAACAACACACTCATACAAACATCCAGGGGATAATTCAACTCTGACGAATACCTTTACATAGAGTCTACTTACAGTGAGAAGAAGGCTCAAAATATGGAAGCTGATTGAAGAATGTGTTCCTAGCCATTTGGAAATTTCAAAATGAGTTTCCCCCGGGAACATCATAGGTTCCTAGACGATCCCCTGCAAACCCCTACTGTCACCACCGAACTACCCTACCTAGTTTCCAGTCGCGTTGACTCTGCTCAAATATCTCAAAATCATCTCCGATTGCGTGGAAGTTCGGACTGGCCGCATTCTGATCTGCATTGATCAGAAATCCACTTATGAGCAGCACAAGTATTTGTCTCCAGTTCTCTCCAGAGAGAACCGCGCGCATCGAGACTCTGCTCCTGTCTAGTGCAGTTTTATGAGCACCTCGTGTCTTCTCACCGGACTCCATATACTCGGTATTCTTATCTACGCGTAAATAGATGAAAAAAACTTATTCCTAGGCGATCGAGAAGAATTACAGCATCGGCCGAATGATACAAACATACACACTAAAAAACTACAAGTATGAGAGTGAACATTCACGAGTTATTATAGCGATATAGAATCTATATATTAAGGTTCTATTCGCGATATAAAAACATTAGTGAAAAATATATTTCACGACTACAACATACCGCGAATATACGCCGCTTCGCGTGAAACGGGTCAAACTCCACTATATAAGAAAATACTACTTATCTACTCAAAACTAACATGATAGTTTTCAACGGAGAATTAAAATCAAATGTAAGTGAAATTATTGATATCTGTGAATACATTGCTGTTCTACTGGGACGAGCATTTTGCCTAGTATATATCTACCATAATAGTGGATAGCCATAGTAATATTAGAACTATTACTTCTCACGAGATTCGAGATGATCGTTAACACTGAGTGTAATACGGTGATTTCCCTCACTTACTCATAGACGCATTCCGATCTCCTCTACGGTGAAGACCATCGGCCACAGCCTGAGCCCATGGATTCGTAAACGGCCTTCCTCCTGCACCAGAGTCCGCACCGTTGTCATATCCTTCTTGACTGGTGAGCATTATAACGGGAAAAAACGACCGACAAAAAAATCAACAATTTCTTTCACGGCACAGTGTGAGAAACTATGGACACGGTCTACTACATTTGTTGGTGACAGTATAAAAATTCTGACGAATTTTCAGGAAATTACTCTTTATTTCTGAACATTTCTACCTAAATTCGTGTGGAAATTCCTATAATTAGTGAGGGAACTCCTGAACTCAGCTGAGGAGAGCGAACATGTATTCTTCCAACACTCTCACAGAAACTATTTCTAACCGTATTACTGACTCCTCAGCTACGTTTCTCGAGATGACGCTAACTGACCGGAAACGCCCTCTATAGAAATCTAGACAAGAAGAAACATTTTTTCCGAAAAAAAAAACTCAACTATACACATTTGACATGGTAAACTATACGAGTCAGGGGTGAAACGTTTATCAATACTAAGCAGCCACACTGAAAAACCAAGGAAGAGCGCCAGTCTGAGGGTACTGCCGTTGCCATTATGAATGTATTTCACCCGAGAAGCTACTCCTGCAGTAGTCCCTCGAGACCTACAACGACGATCAGATTTCTAGAACACAGCTACTGACCTTAACCGATCTCCTCAATGGAAATTCCTCCATCTCCTCAATGCTACCAAGTGCTTCAACACTCTCCGACGGACAGGACAGCTCCATAGCAGTTCACTGATGCCCAGATAATCGTCCTGGAGAAACTCACGGAACAGAGAAGAAAATTTTGAAATATTGAAGTGGGATCAGTTCAGTGACAAGCGCTCG